GGAGGAGGAGAGGGAGGAGGACAAGGAGGAGGAGGAGGAAGGAGAGAGAAACAATTAGCTTCGCAGAGGGTGTCCGCCATTCTCGGCGCTTGGAGGCTCGTTTCCAGATCCCAGGGCCGTCCATCATCGATCGGGGAAGACAAACTGGTTGGAGTGGACCCCAGAAGGGGTATGGGGAGTTGTGTGAAGCGGATCGTGGTCCAGAGGGGAAGGCGGAGGAGAAGAACTCGGGTAAAACCGGGGTGCACCAACGATGCTGTAATGCATCCTCTGGCTCGGGCCCCCCCCCCCCCCCCACAAGTCTCTGCAGGCGCTCCTTCCAATTACAAGACACGCCCCCCTTGAATGACGAACGCCCAGCGGGCCTGCCTCTCAGGCGAGATCCCGTCAACTGCTTCAAAATTCTGTAAAGTGCCCATGAACCTTAAGCGAACATATTATGTTGACCGGGAACCGCCCTCCATCCGCGCAGGCGTTCCAAGTTCAGGTCGTAGAATGCGAGTCTCAAGCCAGAACCGCGTTTTGAAACTTACCCGAATGAAGGGCCAAACCATGTGCAGCTGTGAGTACCACCGTTGTGGGTACTGCCTTCGGTGGATCTCCCTCTCGGGCCACGAAGCGTGTGAAGGGCGTGCCGAGATGCGGCGGGGACGCCATGTGGGCGCTGCCACTGGGGCCTTACGGCGTGAGCGGTGTGCCGGAACGGGAGTGACGCCCAAATGCGGGCTGAGGCCAATGGGGCCTGAGCTGGAGCTCTCCATGGGGCCACGAACCGTGCGAGAGGTGTGCCGTAACGGGGGTGGCGCCCAAATGCGGGCGGCATCACTGGAGCCTTGAGTGGAGCTCCCTGTGGAGCTGATCGAGGGCCTCGAGCGCCACATTGATGTCCTCCTGCGTGACCCCGTGAAGTCATCCCTCCCGAGTGGCAATACGCACCCGAAGCCTGCGAAACAGGGCGTCGGGGAGCAGGGCGCACTTCGCGCGCAGGTTACAGACCTGATATCCTTCGGCCAGCGCCCCGACTGGAGTCCAGATCGCATTGCAGCGAAGGGATCGGATACAACCATGCTGGAAATGAGTGAATTTCGACGGTCGGAGCGATGGCTGGATCACACCGAAGCACAGCCCCGATGGTCGCCTCCACAGGGGAAGCACACTGAGCGAGTTGCCTCTCCTGAAATCGCGGCGATAGGGAGCCCAGGAGGCGCCCGCGGGATGGCGCCTGGGCTTCCAGCCCCAGCGTCGCGCTCTGACTCCACTGACGTCGTAACTGGTCGATCTAAAGATGCGAAGGAGGCGCGCCGATCGTCATCAGCACGAACATAAGCAAGAGGGTCCATGCCCACAAAAAAAATACGGTCAACCAGCCTGTTGCGCGCCTGCCTCTCTAGAGCCCTCAATCCTCACGACAGCCTCGCGCACAAGCTTTTCGATTGGAGCAGGTGCCATAAGGGTGCGTGAAATCCCCCCCGAGATCGCCCGCGCAACAGGCGGTGTCAACCGCGCCCCCGCCCCCTGCGTGGACCTGAACATCGCCGATACGGGTCCTGAAAGAGTCCTCCAGGAGAGTCTACCGTTGTCCCACTGAAAGACCTGCTCCCGAGGCATACAGAGAATGACCCAATCAAGACAGCCTCTGAGCATGTGGTGTGTGAGATTGGTGTGTTATGTACCTGTGATGTGGACGGTGAGGAAGAGAGGGTGTGACAAACGCGGGTGTGACTCGGGTCAGCAGAAAACTAAAACCCCACTTAACCTGTGGGGAACAAAGACATTGCGTCGTAATCCTTTTTCATGGCTCGAGGGGGTCTAGGAAGATTGGGAACGTTCACTCGCAACACCTGCCAGTGTCTCCCGCAAGCGCTTCTGCCACGCATGCCAGCGCCAGAGGAGCCCGCGGCCAGCCGAGAAGGACACCCAGAAGGAGGGCGTCCCTGGACGGGCCGGGGCCTGCCGCGGGGCGAGGGGGGCGACACGGACAGCGGATGCGGGGGCGCACGTGTGAAAGTCCTCTGCTTCGCGCCTGAGCGCCCCCCCCCCAAGAAGAAGTCCCCCTTTTCCTTCTCGTGGGGCGCACGAGGACATAGTAGTACTGAATGTCCTTCTTGGAAGCGTGCGTCCCACCCGAACATCTGAACAATCTTGTAGTCTATCGTTTCCCGAGCGCTGTGGCCAACAGAGCGCCCGCCACCGAGCGCACACTATGAGATATTTCTCGGCGCGCGCGTCGCCCCTGGGGGGGCGACGCGCGCATTGCATTGGTATGATGGGGTGGCGCCGATCTCGCCCTCCTACCCGCCCCTCTGCGGTGGGGGGCTTCCCCATGGAAGAGCGGGGCGTTCGTGTCGCTGTCTGAGTCCGCCGGCGTCCGCTTCCTGGGACTGCAGAGTCGCGCGAGATTATTGGCTGCCCCCTTGCCAGCCATATATTAGCCCAACGTGGATGCAGATGCTGGTACAATGTCGTAAACCATGACTCGCCCTGGCACTTGGTACGGGAACGCAGATCGTCTGGGGGGCGGCGGAATGGCGTGAGCCTCTTGAACAACACATCACGCGCCAAGTGAGGGCACGACCGATGGGGGTGCCACGCCTCTCCTGGGTGAAACTGCAACTCCACGAACTGTGCAGCTGTCTTGTGAACGTGCCGCATGCTCAAGCGAAGCGCCATCCCTGGGGCTTCGGCAAGCAGCCACCGTCGCGAAGAAGCGCGGAACAGGGCATCACGACATTGACCCAACGGTAACCGCATGAAAGAGCGCCCCGTCCTGGCTCCGGTAAACCTTCACGAGGAAACCCTCCTGGCCGATCTGGTCCTTCTTCGCGCCCGAGGCGCGGAAGGCCCGCTCGCCAACCCAGATGACCGTCCAACCCGTGAGGCCTCGAACCTCGGGGGAGGGAACAGAACGACATACGCTCAGGGGCAACGACAGGAAGGCTAGGCACAGGAGGGGGAACATCGACCTGGAATCAGCGATACATCGCCGATAGATCGGCGATAGGCTCCTGATAGTGAATCCGAGCGCTCCTGGGATGGTTTGGGCTATCGGGCCCCTGTCGGCGACCAATGGGCGATTGGGGGTCGATGCATTCCCCCCCTACGCCGATCCCCCCCTATCGTTGCCCCTGGTACGGTCGGGAACCTCTGCTTAGCGTGTCGCCGCGGCGGCCCTGGCGACACGGTCTCCCTTACCAGCTGCTGGCGCGTCGCTCCGCGCCGCGGGGCCAGAATCTTCGGAAAGCTCGGGACGTTGACGATCGGGGAGTGGCACGTGGTTCGCGTGTCGCGCCGAAGCGTGGTGGGCCAAAACCGGCGGAGCGACAGGCTAACCAAAAGTTCCCGACGACAGATGTAAAAAACCGCACTGGCTTGAAGAGGGCACCCGTCACCCCCTCATATCAACCCGTGAATGGGCAAGACCCACGTGTCGCACGTGCCTGGCCCGAAAAATGGCAAAGAGCGCCCTGAGTGGAAGACGTGCTTCAGGTTTCGCCGCGACGGTTCGAACGCCCTTGCCGCACCGATACCCAGAAGTCGGGGGCAAGCAAAAGTAGTGCAGGAAGAGGGGAAAGGCAGTCGGAAGAGAGGGACGCGCTTAGGCAGAACCTTTGGGCCATCGCTGAAGTGGAATCGTCACCAGCGCCCAGAAAACTAAACTGCAAGGGGAATCGACGCCCAACAACCTGGCATGGCATGAAACCATAGATTATGGCGCACGGAACATCCTAGAACAAAGAGTGCGCCCATCCACTCGGCCGTACCTGTTCAGCACGCGCCTCCGAAACGCTACCTCGTCCGTTTTCGCACATGCTTCGCCCTGGCCGGAACCCATACATCGGCGGCGAGCTCAGGGTGGCAGCGAGATGGGACAGGCCTTCTCAGAAAGCGGCGGGGCTTCTCAGAAGCCCTCGTGTCTTCAGGGAACTAGAAGGCGCATCTGGTTTCTCAAGTTTGGACGCCCGAAATGGGTACCGAAAAAATGGGCACAATGCCCAACAGCAAATGTTGTCCCAAACCAACAGCGGCCGCTGTTGGGCAGGCGGCCTCCTGTCTCGAATGGACACAGGCCGCGGCGGCGCGGACAGCGATCCCGGCTCAAAATGAACAGGAGCTGCTGTTGGGCATTGTACCCATTCTTTCAGTACCCATTTCGGGCGTCCAGATCAAGGGTGGGAAGGCTTCGGAGAAGCCCAACCGTCTCCTGAGGAGGCCTGCGCCCTCTCCCGTTCCCCCCGGG